TACTGGTACTTTTTCTTCTTTATAAAGGCTCTTGGTTTTCATGAGGTACTTTTTCATTTTAAAGAAAGGTTAATGCTTTCAGGTCATGATCCTACTCCAAAATTCCAGCTGAGTCTGAAATTCCTGCTGAAATCAGAAATGATCAAAGTGGCAAAATACGTATTGTTGTGGCAACTCCCCCCTTTCTTTTAAATAATAACAAAAGGAAAAAAACGATCATATTTTGAGGGAGAAATCTACAAGCTTTCAGTAGCTTCCAGGTAACTCACTGATTCCAGGGACATGTAGATGTTTGATGTAACTATCAAAGACATGTCTTACACATCCTAATTTTTGTCTTTAAAAAATATACGTGCAATTAGGGTTTTGGCTCAGATAAATCTCATGTTTACAAAACGAAAACCCTTATAATACACTCAATTTTAATTGTTTGCATGTTACTCAGGCCCAAGGTTTCTCAGATCAAAATTTGTATATCTTCACTCCCATCTTTGCTTCTGTTTTGCAACTGTTTAATGAGTCAAGATTCTTTAAACACAAAGTTCTAGTAAGCAAATTGTAATATTTTTCTTTTTTATTTTGACAAATACAACTTTGCATAGATTTTCTTTTCTCCTGGTACATATCAATTGAGGCTCTATGTATGTTTAAAGTTCAACTCATTTGTGTCACCATTCCTGTTTCTATTCTCCACACCCTTCCTCAGTCTTCTAGCACTTTTCACTTACATCTGTCTCAGTGGTGCTCAACTCTAGCTACATGTTCATCTTACCTGGGAAGCTTTTAAAACACACCAATACCTGGGCTCCAATCCCAGGACTTACACTTAAGTGGCCTGGGGTGCTATCTTGCCATAGATAAAACCTTTTAATGTAAACAAAAAATGTTTATTTATTTTTGAGACAGAGAGAGAGAGAGGAGAGAGTGAAAGAGAGAGAGAGAGAGAGAGAGAAAGCAGGGGAAGGGCAGAGAGAGAGGGAGACACAGAATCTGAAGCAGGCTCCAGGCTTTGAACTGTCAGCACAGAGCCTGATGTGGGGCTTGAACTCAAGAACTGCAAGATCATGACCTGAGCTGAAGTCAAATGCTTAACTGATTGAGCCACCAGACACCCCTAGATAATTTTTTAAAGCTCCAAAGGTAATTGTAATATGCAGCCAAGGTTGATAACCCCTGCATGTAATATTGATCCTACTGTATTATGATTATTTGTGAGACTTGATCTCCCACTGAAGTTGCAGCAGTTTAAACCAGAGGCTGTATCTGATTCATGTGTGAATTCCAATGCCTGCTGAATTTGAACCTGAATGCCAAGTACTCTGTGGGGTACTTTAGAAGGTCCAAATTTTAAGAAGACACCCTCTCTTCATTAAGGAAATCAAAAACTGTTACAGAAATACCAGACAAGAAAAAACCTAATACATCATTACTATGACCTAATAAAGCTATAAGCAGAGTAAAAATAAAATATTAGGATAGAGAGTCAAATCAACCTGAAAATTAGAAAGACATAATGGAAAAGGTAAAACCTTAGGATGGATGATGTGTGCAAGTTTGAATAGGCTCATGTATATGGTTTTGACAGAAAGAAACAGAAAATAGTACAGAGATAAAAACAGAAGAATTTCTTGTAAAAGGGAATAGAGTAAGGAAATAAGAGGTGGGAAAGTATGAAGTCCATTAAGGAAACAGTTTGTATAGCATTTAAGAAAAGCAGAAACTTGGTGGGGTGAGATCATGGGGCTTTGAATGGCCAATGGATGAGCATGAACTCCTTGAAGGATTCTGAGCAGAGGAGTAATATACTCAGATATTTGTGTTTTACAAAGTTTACTCTTCCTAATTAATCATCTTGTAGCTTTTAACATACACTTTTTCTGTGTGATCTGAATTGCATTATATGAATGTTATAAGCAAGGCTTTCTTATATTAAAATGCTTTTCATTGTGTGGTCAATGTACTCATTAAAAAATATATCATTGAGGAACAGACACATAAATTACATCTGTTCTCAGATGACAGTATTTCATCAGCATAGCTGAGGAGAAAACAGATGAAGGTTAAGTAGGAAAATGGCTGTGGTAGCTCCCCTAAACTCGCCTAAAAACCTGACCTAAAATATTTGGCTATTTTTTCAGGAGGTATCAAAAGAAAGGAAGTAAAGAAAATTCCTTCACTTCATGTGTTTTTCTGCACTTCCAAATGTAAATAAACGTACAAGTTACACATTTCATGTATTCATATTTACTTCTCTATTATTGCTTTTGACTGACAGATGCAGTATTTGTTGTTGAGAAAGCCTGCAGAAAAAAATATGCATAGTATGATATCACTTTAGGCATAAAGTCTTTGTTTAGATCACCCCTTTACTTGATGGCCAGGCTGATACCAAGCTCATCTGCTCATTTGCCTCAGCAAGCCATATTTGTCCTATATCACTTCCCTATGGAGTACTTTTGAGATCTATATCAAATTGTTTTTTTTTTAATTAAAAAATCTTGCTCTTTTTTTATCAATAAAGTCATCAGTAATACAATGGGATATATAACACATATGAAAAACCTAAAGCAAATCAATGTTTATAAGCACTGAATATACTTTTCTCTTTTATTTTAAATTTGATCCTTAGAAACATATATGTGTGTGTGGGGTGCATGCAGGTGATTTTATATATATATAAACCTCCCAGTGAGATGTGAAGAATAGTGAAGGAACCAGATATTCATGCAGATATTTAACACTCAAAAAATATTATTCAGAGTCTAACACACAACCCAACATTTGTCTTTAATAGTAACAAACAGTAATATTTTATGAAATTGCATGGTTAGTCTCCATGTATCATCACATGTCAATTCTTTACATGCTCAACTAGATTTTATAGCCCTGTGGACAGTTTTCAGTCTTTCAGCTGTGTTATAAACTCAAAAATTTGACTGAGGAAAGCAAATAGATTAGGCGAATTCTCAAGATTAGAGTCTTCTGGTTCCAGGAAAGATGGAGTAAACACAATCTATTTTACTTCTCTAATTACAAAAATCACTCTGGACAAAATCTATAAGTCATTTATCAGACAAATCTAAGAGGTGGAGAAATGAAAGCAGATTGACTAGGTGCCTCAAGACTTAAGGAATGACATGACAGTGAGTTCCATAGTTGTTTTTTTTTTTCTTGTCTTCTACACATCCCAGCAATGTAGTAAAATGCCAAATAAAAATGGCGACCAAGAAAAGCCAAAGGATTAGTAAAGGGTGGCCAAACAGAACAAAAACCTCTTAATCATGTTTGTCTGATCTAGGGGTGATATTATAAAAATGGCAGTTTGTTCCCCTACTCAAAGAATGGTGCAGCAGGAGGTCAATGAGAAACACCCCTCCCTGGTAGAGCCCATGGACAGAAATCTATATTCTACTTCCATTTCCATTTCAGTAAAGAGATGGCATCCTTGCCCTGTGAAGTCTGTCATAACTGACTTCTAGCCTCCATGAATTAAATAGGAGGTGAGCCTTCTCTCGGACGCCCTGCGTGCAATTCTCATTTCTACTCCCTGCTGAAATAACAAAGCAACAGAATAGTTTTCTGAAGCAGAAGATTTTGGGGGAGGGTGCTACTATTAAGGAATCACCGAGGGAGTTTCTTGGTGGTAATGGAACAGTCCTTTATGATTATTTTGATAATAGTTACTTTAATCTACACTTGTGATACAATTTCAAAGAACTCTATCACTACTCTCTCAACCATCCAACCAACAGCCAACCAACCAAACACAAAAATGAAACCTGAAGTAATAGGAATAAGGACTATCACTAAGTTAATAGTACTGTACCAAAGTCAATTTCTTTAAAACAAGAAAAATATATAAATATGTATTATTAGTTTAAAGATTAATATAATAGAATGTAACTTATTCAATCCTAACTTACCTGAATGTTTTTTTCCTGAACATCTAGACACTGAATGAAAATGTGTTATGTGATACATGCGATAAAACTTAAAATATGGTTTTGCCACTCAGATAGATTTTCTAATAGTATTACTATTCCAACTATGACTAAGAGTAACTATTTTCCCGTAACTTTCCAACTTTGGGATCTTAATCTAAGAAGAGTAATGACTTGAAACGGAAAGGAAAGTTACCATTCATACCCGAACGATACTCTTTATGGTGTTCGTGAGTCATAGCCAGAGGGTATTATAAGATAAACTCAGTACCTGAGGGTGAGTACATGGGGGATAAACTACTGATGCAATATTTTAAAGTAGATGAAGAAAAAAAATCGAGAAAGTATATTAAAATTATAAATAACAGTGATAATACTTTTTGTGTCACGCCTTTCCCCTAAGGAATATAAAATTCCTCTTTTAATCTCATCACTTTACAGATAGAGTTCTGTGTTGATGTCTCTTTTCAAATGGCACAATTAAATGATAGGCAGTTATGTGCCCAGCCTTAGGCCAAAATGTAAATCAACAGTAGGGTTAGACTCATAAATTAGTATTCATGCTCTCCATTAAGTGTCTTTGGGTTCACAGTTAAAGTGGACTGTTTTTAGCTTAATCTCCACCTGAATACCATTCTATTCAATGTATCATAATTGATACTAGAATATATCTAGTATATCTAGATACTAGAATTTATTTAATATATTCTATTCTATTCTATATATATTATATATATATATGTATATATATTATATATACACGCACATATTAGATATCTAGAATGCATCTAATTTGGAAGCATGGTTTCCAGAAATTTTTTCTGCCAGCATAGTGCTACTATTCTATAAGCAATACACTCAAGCATTTCATTTATTCTAATTTAATTTCTACTCAAGTTTTTTTTTTTTGTCATTTTAACAACTTTAAGTTACTTAATGGGTTGCAGAATTGAAGAAAGAACTGCTCATTATGATGAACCAAGCGTCTTTATCCTAATCTTATAAACAAACTTCTCAAAAAGGAAGACAGTATCATTAATGCATCCTGTCATCACTTACTTTCTTCTTTCCATTTCGAATCTATGGAGTAGTTTCCGAAGACCACCATTCTTAAATCCCTGAAAATGGGCAGCTGGGGCTCCTACAGTGATGACATCGTAGAGAGCATCTGGAACAGGAATGGACAAGGAAATGAATACTTTGCACACATTTGTCTCCAGCATGCTGTCGGTATGGAAGCATACACACTGTGGGAAGTTTGAGAAATTATTCTGTTTAATTTTGCAGGAATAACTATGAACTCACATCTCAAGGGGGCAAGAGGAGCTAATCAATCTTTCTAAAAGCCACCTGTGCACCTAAACAAGTTATAATATTTCTTTGATTTATGACTACATCTTAATTATATGCTACTGTCTGGAACAGTATGTTCTCTCATTCTTCTATATACTTACTGAGATAACATGTTAATTGGTCTTTTGTGTGTTTTACTTTATTGAGTTTTGCATCATTTAATTTGCAATCATATTGAAACTCAACAATAATGAACAATCTTTACAGAGAAAATTTACAGAGAAAAAAACCCCAAATTATTAATTCATCTTGGCTCAAGGGCAGAACAGTACTAGTGCATTAAAAAAAAAAAAATCTATATAGAGAAGTTTCCTGCCTGTGTATGCTAAACCTTAGTTTTGAATGCATGCTTTTGCAATTTTCTTAGGTGACATAGAAAAAATACACAAAATGCCTCTAGATCTATTTTCTACAAAGATATTTTGTTTTTTTAAATAAAAAATCCATACATTTAAAATGAAACTCAATCTCTTCATCTTGAAACATCAAATTTGATGCTTATTAAGTTTAGGGCTTCAAAACATGCCATCAATTTTACATTCTAATGAAAAGTATCCCCATAAGAAAGAAGACAGAGTGAGCATCTCTTGTTAAGCTACATTTTATTTGAGAAACCTAATTTCATAGCCTATCCTTTTCAAATTGATTTTTTGTATTGCCACATTGGTTGTTTTTCAGTTCTCATTTACAGGAAAAACAAATTATTTCATTAGCTTCACATAAACACCGTAGCTTCTTCATACTAGTTCAATCCAAATGCACCTGAAAATTTTTTCTTAATAAAAAATGTCTTCAAGTGAAAGACTTCAGCAGCATTCAGAGAAGTCAAGGTCACATAAGAGAAGAAAACAAAACAGAAAACAAACAAAAAAACCCCACAGAACACAATCCAAATCAACCCATCAATAAGGTACATACTGAACCATCATTCAATAGATCGCTGGAGTGGTAATCTCTTGCCCTTTTAAAAAGTCACTAATAAACTAAAAGTTAGCTTTTCTTAATATAGCAAAATGTAAGACTTGTGTGAAATTTAAGGATTTCTTAGTCCATGAGATTTTAACCTAGGTCTAAGAAAAGGGTTTCAGGGAATCCATGAATATATTCAAGTTGTAGAAGTGTATTCTACTTTATGGAAAAGGGCCACAGCTTTCTCAAATGGTAATGACATTACCCCAAAGTTACCAGCACTAATTTCCAGTCCATCTTCATTTATCTGATGAGAAAGCCGAGCAACTTGATAAATTACCTGGTTCATCTAAAGTCCCAAAGACCTTGTTATACACAGGGTCTTTTGGCTTCTAACCCAGGGATGGAGAGCCAGGGGTTTAAGTTGTGACCAGAACCCGAGTCCCTCAATCTGGATCCCAGTCAGTTATGAGTTGTGTAACATTAGGAAAATTACTTAACCTCTGTATGTATTAGTTTCCTCAGCTAGAAAAAGTAATTAGAAGTGGTAAGCATTAACTATTATCTATGATTCTTTTTCTTCTTTTTTAAAAGCTTATTTATTTATTTTGAAAGAATGAGAGAGAGAGACAGGCAGAGAGACAGAAAATGAGGAGAAGACAGAGAATCCCAAGAAGGCTCTGTACTTCTAGTGCAGAGCCCCATATGGGGCTTGAACCCACAAGCTGAAATTAAGAGTCAGATGCTTAAACAACTGAGCCACCTAGGCACCCCTATGATTATTTTTCCTATAAGAAGTTATCCTACCAAAGAAGCAAAGAAAGATGGCACTTCAACTATTGCTTATTTACCATGATAATACACTTTTCAGTCTGAAAAGAAAAGTGATATGGAAGCTCAGTCTTCAGTTCCTGTGTTAATTTAAACTAAATGCAAAAAGAAAAATCATCATGATGCTACTATCAGAAATACATTTCTGCTAAAAGTTGGGTGACCAACAATACCAACAATATACAAAAGTGACTAAGTCACTTTAAGCCCAAATTCCATTAATCCTAAGATAAATGCATTTCTAACTCAATATTTTTTTAAATTGCCTGTAGCCTTTTGCTGGATTCAAAATCCACCTCTCCAACATCATCTAGCAAGAGGGAAAGAATGAGGGAAGGAGAAATCTGAGTAGAAAGAGAGACCAGTTCTAATTAATGGAGGTTAAAATAACTTTCTTTTGTAAAATTTGCAAAAACACCTGACCAGAAACCAGTTGCTGGAATCCCTTGCTGGGTCTTGTAAGATGCCCACATACAGGAAGAACCATGAACTTAAGTTGAACTAGCTTCACGGGGAGTCTGTCTCATCAATTCACCTATATTTCCAGGATATTTCTTAAGCTACTTTCTTTCTTTTTTTGTTTTTAATGTTTTATTTATTTCTGAGAGAGAGGCAGCGTGAGCAGGGGAGGGTCAAAGTGAGAGGAAGATACAGAATCTGAAACAGGCTCCAGGCTCTGAGCTGTCAGCACAGAGCCCGACATGCGGCTCAAATCCACGAACCATGAGATCATGACCTGAGCTGAAGTCGGACGCTTAACCGACTGAGCCACCTAGGTGCCCTCTGAAGCTACTTTCTAGGAGCAAAATCTTTCTTTTTGTTCCTTTGCTTTGCTCTGGGAAATTCTAGATATCTATGAAGGAACCATGAAACTTGGAAGTGGCAGGTAAAGGAAGAGAAGCAAGTTGCTCAAAACCTCTCCATGCCTCAGAGTAAAGAGCTGATTATTTTTAAATGGAAATGAAGGCATGTGTAATTCTTGAATCCAACTGTAATAAAGAAATTTCAAAGTTTTTTTTTAATGTTTTATTTATTTCTGAGAGACAGAGACAACGTGAGCAGGGGAGGGTCAGAGAGAGAGACACACAGAATCTGAAACAGGTTCCAGGCTCTGAGCAAGCTGTCAGCACAGAGCCCGACGTGGGTCTTGAACCACAAGCTGTGAGATCATGACCTGAGCCAAAGCTGGACACCCAACCAACTGAGCCACCCAGGCACCCCAAGAACTTCCAAAGTTATAAACAAATTCTTTGATATCCAAAGTTATGACTTTTACTTGTTTCCATTCTATTTTCTATTTATAAGCTCATCTTTTTCAGAGTTTTAACACTATATTTTTACCAAACCCTACAAAATCTCTATTTCTGGCAAGTTCTGACCTTTTCCACATTAAACAATCCAATTCCTAATTGTCTTATGAACATTTCTGAATTGCAATCAGTTATTAAGCTTCACTTTTTCTAACTCTTTCAACCTACTCTTTCTCCCCAGTATCCTATGACCATTACAGATACCACATTGTTTTAAACCCTCCAGAGTAAAACTCTCAAAATATCAAGATCATTTTTTTTTAATGTTTTATTCATTTCTAGGAGAGAGAGAGAGAGACAGCGTGAGCAGGGGAGGGTCAGAGAGAGAGGGAGTCACAGACTGAAACAGGCTCCAGGCTCTGAGCTGGCAGTCAGCACAGAGCCCGACGCGGGGCCCGAACCCGCAAACCGCAAGATCATGACCTAAGCGAAAGTCGGACTCTTAACCGACTAAGCCACCCAGGCGCCCCATATCAAGATCATTTTCAATTTCTCCCTTTCCCTCCACATTTTACCTGATTAGTTTTTTTCTAATGTTTATTTATTTTTGAGAGAGAGACAGACAGACCATAAGCAGGGGAGGGGCAGAGAGAGAGGGAGAAACAGAATCTGAAACAGGCTCCAGGCTCTGAGCTAGCTGTCAGCACAAAGCCTGACGTGGGGCTTGATCTCACAATCTGCAAGATCGTGACCTGAGCTGAAGCTGGATCCCTGACTGACTGAGCCACCCAGGTGTCTCTTACCTGGTTAGTTCTAACAACTCTTCTACCAAATTTTATTCTCTCTTAACAATGTTAATTACCTTAATTCTTATTTTCATTTCCTGTCAGAATTGCTACTGCCTCTTCAGTCTTAGCTTCCCTCTATCCATAGTGCAGTAGATCACTTTCCCAAATGAGTGGCCATTCAGTCACTTGGCCCAAAAGCAAAGGCTCTGATACTTACACCCTCCTCATATATTTCAAATATTAACAGAAGAACATTCAAATGCCTCAGTATCATCCATGTTGTAGGTTTTCAATAAATGCCAATAAATAAATATTTGGGGGCTCAATTCATTTTGTCTTATTTTTTAATAGATCATACAAGGTATTGTTATTCTTTTAAAAATTAATCTTTATTTTTGAGAGAGAAAATATGAATGAGGGAGGAACAGAGTGTGAAGGGGACAGAGAATCCAAAGTAGGCTCTGCACTGTCAGTGCAAAGCCCAATGTGGGGCTCCTACTCACAAATCATGAGGTCATTACCTGAGCTGAAGTAGGATGTTCTACTGACTGGGCCACCCAGGCATCCCATGGTATTATTTTTGTAACTGGAGAAATTTTTAAAAAGTTTATAAACACTCTCTAGAAAAACATTGGAATCTGAAATATAAATATATTCATGGGATGAGGCTGAATATATCCAACCATAGACTGCATTTTATAAAAGAATAAGTGAACTTGTGATTTTTCACATGCAAAAGAATGAAATTAGATCCTTATAGTATCTGCAAAAATCAACTCAAATTAAAGACTTAGACATAAGACTTAAAACTATACAATGCCTGGAAACAAACATAGAGGAAAAGTTTTATGATAATGGTCTTTATAATTATTTCATAGATATGACACTAAAATCATAAACAAGAGAAACAAAAACAAGCAAAACTACATCAAACTAAAAAGCTTCTGCACAGGTGAGGAAATAACAGATCGAAAAGGAGAAAATATCTGCAAACCATATATTTGATGAGAAGTTAATCTCCAAAATATATAGTGAAC